CGCGCAAATAGTTTGAAATGGTGGTGAGGTCGTTTTTGCCTGTAAGTGAGTGAGGTGGTAGAAAGTGGCATTTCACTCTTGCCAATTAAATATGACTCCTTTACAATAAAAAGGTTATTGAGTCAGACAGTGATTGATTATTAGACCTAAGGGTCAAACTATGCTTAGCAAATCTTACCGTAGCTTTTGATGAATGCTCAAGTTACTGCCACTCCAAAGTGCCAGCTGGTTATTTAGGGGGTGAGTCAAAGGAATGTCCTGCTGCGGTCTTATTCAATGGGACACATGGAGTGGTTTTGATTGACATTAGTCATGGGTTGCCTGTCCAACATATTATTTAGCCCCCTCTGCCTTGAGCTGCTTCCATCTGATCGGAGCGGCGCAGACCCGGTCGTGACACGTTTAGCGATTTCACACTCGTTTTGTGGCAATGCGCAGCCTCTGTCCTCTCAAATGTTTTGAAGCATAAATAATACATTGCTCCCATGATTTGCAATGCATGAATGAGCATAGCTAGGGTCGCAGCAAAAGGAATGTTGCCAAGTCATATTGTGTCAGACCCAAGTGGAAGTTTTGTGCCTCAAAGAGTCGAATCATTGAAGGCCCAAAACGTGAAAGCTGGCATGTGGTACACATCAAGCAAAGACGTTGGGGTTGCAACAAAAGCGGCTAGTTTTATTATATGGTTATTCTTTTATTGTGGGTAACGTGAAGTAGAAGGTTTATTTTTTTTATTTAGTCTAAGTTTAATATGTTTTTTTGTCTTTTGTTTGTTTGTTTTAAATCCTTTTTTGTTCTGAGAACCAAAAAGACACAACTCGGGCAAATAATTCCTATGCACGTCACTGCTTCACTGATGTGCCACATGTCTTTCCTGCATACTGCGTAGCCTAAACCAATCATGAATCTTATCAAATGGAAGTATGCATCCTAAACTTAATGTTAAATCTTGAAGTCCATCACGTGAAGGTGTCAAGAGAGCATCTGCTCCACAGTGTTTTGGTGTTGACGTGTCATCTCAGTGGTGAGCGATCTGACAATGTTTTCATTATGGATCCCCCTCCACTCCTCGCTCCCGCAACTCCCGTCCGCGCTCCCAAACAAGAGGCTGGAATGTTGGGTTTCCATGACGCTAATGAAGTAAAAACCTGGCAATGCGTTGCTGGCAGCCTCTGAGCAGCTCCTGATCTGCGGCCTCCTTCTCATCAGGATCAGAGTCTGATCCCTCTGCAGCCTTCATTCACCAGGGCTTATTATGCCCAGGAATGTCTCTCACTCACTCCCTCCCTCATAACCCCCTCTGAAGCAGGGATGTGGGGTGCTGGGGTAAATTTTGGACAAATCCCCAGTAAGAGTACTACCCCAAATAACACACAACCCCCCCACACACTTTTTTTTCTGGCTCCCATCAAACTAAAACTCCTCCCCTACTACTCCTTACAATCTTTCCTCTGCTAACTGTCACACTTGGACAAAGATAAGCACAAACTCCTCTCCTTCTTTCCTGTGGAAAGCCTTTGTTGTGATTTATGTTCCATAAATGCTTCATGTAGCAGGCCCATGAGGTGACCAATCCCACTTGTTTGCCATTTGCCCCAGGGACAATGGGGAGTTTTTGGTACTCAAACAAGTCCTCACTCCAGAGTCCTTAGATTTCCCAGGGGAAAACAGAATGATCTTCCCAGAGGCGTGTTTATTTTTTTTACCAGTGTTCAGAAATCCTTCAACTATTTGCAAATTGAAACGTCTTCCATCGCTGCACTGTCAATACCTCTGCCATTATGTTTTTTTTAAAGGCACTCTGCAGTGGGAACCAGTCCTTTCTTTGTGTTCCAGCCAGAAAGGCAGTTTAGGGGTTAAATAACCAGTCTCTGTACATTATCCTGTGTCATGCTGGGCTGGTGGATGCAGCCATAATGTCTTGCTAATTAGCCTCTATTTAGGTTTTTCCAATAGGCCACACAGCCGCCATTGACGATTGAAGCCCATGGAGCTTTGCAAAGGAAGACCCTCTGTCTTGTGGGCATTCATGATTTTAGGCTTGTCCTTAATAAACCTTTAGTCTCCCCAAGCTTGATGCTTTCAGGATTCGGTATCCAGTTACTTGGTAGATGAATAGGGTATCTTGCCTCTGTGGGGATGATTTAGTCCATTGTGTGTATGTTGTCTTTCAAAGGATAATGTCCATAAATGGGATCTAAACTGACCAGGACCCATTAAGGGCTCAAGGGTTGAAGCAGCTTGTTGTAAACGTTGACCCTTATCATATAAGATAGTGACAGAAAGAGGTTGTGGGAAAACCCTAGCACCAGGGATAAAAATAGCAAAAATCTACATTCAAAAATACTAAAAGTAACAGTAAAAATAACAGAGTAGTTGCTGGACCATTACAAAACAACGTTTGTCAAGTTTTGTACAGCAGAACTGAGTCTTATTATGATGTCTGGTTGTGCCAGAAGTTCATCACTGGCTCCTTTTGCTGCCTCGTGTGGAGCTGGGCAGCTGAAACAAAAAGACTAGAGGCTTATGCCCTCAAAACCCACCAGGTCTTCGGCACTGGAAGGAGCTGCACATGGCATCTGATGATTGATGAAGGTGGTTGCTATGGATAAAGATGGGATTCCAGGTCCTGGGGAGAAGCTTTTGGCAAAATAGAAGGAGCAAGCATGTTGGCATGGACGACCATCTCACTGTGGTAGTGAAACAGTCTTGTGATTGAGCTTGTCCCCTCATGAAATAGCTTTTGGTAATGAGTTGCTTATTTAGTTATTTCCACACATTTTAGGCAATCTTTTGCTGGTTAATTGGTTTGAGTTGCCGCTTGTTGTCTTTATGGTGATATTTCTCAACAGTCTAGTCGGCTGGACATAAAGTTCCCAGTAAAGCAGCAGAATATATAGACATTTTGCATGTCAGAGCTGTTCTGTTCAAAACGTTTTACCTGAACTGTTGATCACTGTGAAGTTGTCACAGACTGGTCAGTCGGCTGGATTTACATTTCAGGCCTCAGCTAGTATTGTCACGGTGGCCACAAAGACCTAGCATTATTAGCCCCACTGGCGGAACTATTTGTCCCACTCCAAAAGAGAGAGCTAACGAATAAAAGAAAAAACGGGAGACAGCTAAAGTCTTCCTGATCCCCATTTCCATGAAGGGTAATCCAGGGGTGATCGTCAGCACAAAATGCGGCTTTGACCGACTGTGTCTTTTGTGTGTGTGTGTGTGTGTGTGTGTGTGTGTATGTTTGTTTGTGTGTTTTCGTTTAACCTGTATTTGGCTGCAAAGATATGTGACCTGGAAACAACTATTAAAGTGAAGTCATATGACATTTAAAACATGAAATCAAAACAACCTCCCAAACAGCCTCCTGTGTATTTAGTGTGATTATAGTTTAGGACTCAGCATATCTAGATCACAAGTGTAATTATGTGAGTATGCGTGTATATTGTGTTTGCATGAGTGAGGGAACAGAGGGAGACGTGCCTACCCTCTTGTACTGGTTATTTCTAAGAAAGCCACCCATGCATGTTGTGTCAGCAGTCTGGTCACACTCCACTGTATGTTTCCAATAAGTAGCAAAAAATACCTCAGCCTTACCTACCTTAGTTAATGCATTGCGCTGTTCATGATCTCACTCTGACTAAGCCGAGAGCACGTTTTCAAGGTTAGATGATAACAGAGTGCATTTTGTCCCCTTGTTAATGGCTGTGACTCACTGTTTGTAAAGTCACGTGCAGTACAGAGAACCACATACCTGAGATGCCGTGTTTTCTTTGGTTCGCTCGCTGGATGGCTGATGATTGCTAAAAGACCATAGTAGGTCTCGTTTATTTATGCACATAGCAGTTGGGTTCGTGTGTTGCGTTTCTGCCGTCCTCCACTTTATGGTGCGGTCGCCAGGACAGGAGAACTCAAACCCGGAATGGCGTCACATAGTTATCTTGTCACCAGTATGTAAATTGGTGGGTCCTAGGACTAATCTGTTCAGGGTTTATAAAACGTGATAGCATTTTGTTTGATAAACTTCTGTTTGGAAAGACAGTGGGCCTGCAGACACAGTTCATAGCATAAAGTGGCACCTTGGAAACGTTTAATTTTCCAGCTTCTACAGTATCATGTAGCATATGACCTGTCATCATTGAGACGGAGAAACACTGCCAATGATCTCTTTTCTTACTGGTGAAAGGTTAACAAGGCTAATGGATAATCCACTGGCTGTATAATATGTCAGTTCTGTCATTTGAAATGGTTGATTGCATATATCGCATGTTAGTTATTGCCAAAATGTTCAATATAATTGCCCTTTCTCAACTTCGTTCCATATATTTCTATAAATCTCGAATCTGAGTTCTCCAGCTTTAAAATGTGCAGAGATTATTACTGATTTATTAAGGGATTTGTTTAAGAAGGGAATAAATCAACCTTAAGTACAATACCAAAGCTATATATAGTTTCAAATTGGAAATTTTCCTACTAAATGTTTCAAAAATGTGGCATAATGACACGGCTAAGGCAGGGGTGGGCAATTCCAGGCCCCGAGGGCTGGTGCCCTGCAGGTTTTAGATCTCACCTTGGGTCAACACACCTGAATCACATGATTAGTTCATTACCAGGCCTCTGGAGAACTTCAGGACATGTTGAGGAGCTAATTTAGCCATTTAAATCAGCTGTGTTGGTTCAAGGACACATCTAAAACCTGCAGGGACACCGGCCCTCGGGGCCTGGAATTGCCCACCCCTGGGCTAAGGGATTCCTTTTCTCATCAGTCTGGACTAAATGTGAGCATATCTTTCTGACTGGGTGGAAAATGTGTGCAATAAGCATTATTTAATTGTCTTGACAATCTCCAGAGCACCAAGACTGTCTTCACCACGCGGTCCACGAACGTCTCGGTGAGCTGCTACGAGTCCTGAAGGCCATTATCAGCAAACACCAGAGCCTCAACTCAGTGGATATCCTCAGTACAGCTGGAACCGTCATCGCCACGGTCAAAGGTGAGCAAAGATGACCAGCTCCCCCTAAATGCTCACCCTCATAACTTTCGGCTTTCCTGTAAAACATGCCAGATACTCCTCCACTCTTCCTTTAGTCTGTTTTCTGTCTCTGCTTATCTAATCCTCCCTTCTCCCTTGATAGTCTTCTCTGCTGGGCATTCACTATTACCACGTCCTGTCTCTCATACAGTCCTCCCTGGTTTAAAGAACTTCCCAGAGACTGTTTCTCTGGAGTTGTCTTTTAGCTTCAAGGTGACACAGTTCTTCAGAAGTCACTCAAGCGCTTTGAGTGCAGCAACGTGTGTTTCAAACCCCATATAGAGACTAAGAAAATAATATTTGGGAGTCGGGTACCTGATACTTGAAGATCCAGGGAGAAGCGGGTGTCCTTTGTGCTTTGTCTGCCAGTCCAGTGGGAACTGCACAGAGGAATCCTTTTCAGTCGCTCATTCTTTAAGATTATGATCTGGCATGCAGGTCAGTTCTTAACTTGGCGGCCACACAAGAATCCCTAGAGTATACCTCGTCTCAATTTGCATTGCAAAGAGGGGCAGAGAGGGGCTGCATAAAAAGCTTTTACTTCTAAGGAATGGTGACATGATGGAGAGGCCTGAGGAGGCTCTGCATGTGCATGTGAATGTGAATGGGCTTCACCTTTAGCTGAAATACTTGGAATGAGTCCATACACATTTGGGCGTGTGCATATATGTGCCACAAAAAATAAGCTCTTGCAAGTCCTGTCTTTCATGCAGTAACTTGAGTGTTTATGTGGCACTGGAACATGTCTTTGCACAAGCGAGACAAAAAAGCACAACTTTGTCAATGAGGAAGGCTTGGATTTGAGAGCTTAATAGTCATTCTGTAAAAACATTGTTATTAATGCTCGTGATTATATTGCATTAATCATTAGGAGGATTCATAAGTATATAGATTGAAAGTCTTCAGCTGTTAGACAAACTTTTTTTTAAATAGTTCTGAGTAATGGTGGTATTATTTTTATTTCAGAGGAAGTTCCTATAGTGAATAGTAGATATTATAACACAGTAATTACTTGTTCTTTCCATAACTATATGAAGTGCTGTAACATCTTTCTACCACTAGGTGGCCAGACCTGTCCACTTCTTGATACCCCACCCCCCCAAAAAAGAGAGATGTAGACGGTGCCAGTGTGTTATCAGCTTTGCGCCATTGTTTTTGAGCCACCAAGCCTGATATTTTACACAATAACGTACATATGAGGCAAAACTAGCAATTTGTTTTGGATTTCTACTTGAAGTGCACCCTGACCCTACGTCAAAGAGTTGTTTTGGTGGAAAATTGAACCTCCCACCCTGTGATACTCTGTTTCCTTGGCATACCTCAGTACGTCTTCAATTACTCTCTGTTGGAGCTTCCGATCCCTTAATTGCAGCACAGGACTCTGCTACTGATGAGTGTTTCGAGAGTGTTGTGCTTTTCGAGTGAAACAATACCATTTTTCTCTGATGATGTAACTTCCACATTTGGACCACTGGTTGGGGCCTGAGCGAGTACTGGCATTGTATTCCAGCAAGCCTCAGGATGTCCTGTTGGGGGGTAGGGGCTGTGCGGGAGAGGAGATGCGAAAGCAGAGCTGTGTGATTTGAATGGTGGTAACTGCTGGGGGTGGCTTGGAGACACCCCGTTAAAATCAGTTTTTAAATTTAATTTGAAGACTTTTTCTTTCCCCCCATTGGATTTATTTTATTTATTTTCAGTGGTCAGTCTTTCCTTGTGTTGGTCAAAGGAATCCTTTTCTTGGACCAGCTAAAGATTTGCAAGTATTTTGGTGTCATGTTTAAGGCTTCTCCAAGGAGTATTAAGTAGGTGTTGATTTCCATGATCAACAGGGCTTATATCTGTTTAGGACAAAGCGGGACAGAAACCTGTTTTGAGGTAGGTAATTGCTGGTTCACTTGTGTGCTTCTTTAGCAACACCTTCTGAAAACATTTTGAGGTACGAGGCAATATGTAATAGCAGTTTAGAAGACTGGGAAGGTCTATAGTAGGCGTTTGTAGGTGGTTTGCATTATGTGAAGCAGATACTAAGAGACCAGGTGGAAGATCTAGGACTCTAGGTGTGGATGACGTTTAGGCTAGTTTTGTTTCAGGATTTGAGAAGTTATTAAAGTTCAGGAAATTCTGAAGTTGTCCCATCTTAGGATTAATGTTCAAAAGTCAAGACATTGAAGTAGGTTTTGAGCTTAGCTAATAAAAAACAAGTGAACTCTGTTAGTTTTCTATTTAAAATGTCTGAAAGTCATTGAACTCTAGAAATCTCCATTGTTCTATTGGAAAGGAAAGACTGAATGACCAGTGACATCACTGATTTATTGCTGGGTCTCATTTCTGAGCATCTCTCTCCTGGTTTATTTTCCCTCTGCTCAGTCCGGCCAGGAAGTTTATTGTGAAGACTGATTACAGCCGTATTTACACTGGTGTTTTTCCTCCATTCTGTCCTCAGTCATCACTGTGTTTAGATTTTCAGCAGGAAACTACTGCAAGAGCAGATTACAGCCAAATATACACAATCACGGTCTTTGCTTATCTTCACTGATTTAACATAAAGTTGTTTTTGGATGCCTCTGAGGGATTGCTCAACTCTAAAAGGTCTACACACAAACAGTCCTCTAGCTCTCAGAGCTTTTGAGGAGTACAGTCTGAGTCAGAAGAGATTTTCATTCACTCTGTTGTTAACATCATGCACAGGATGATGAATCATATCTTGTGATTGTTGCCTTAAACACAGGATGTCTTCAGTATGCAGGATTTGGGGTTGTTACAGAAAGTTGACTCAGTCTTACTTCACCATAATTTGACAGGAGTGAACTTTAAGGAGGTGAACGAAGACAACAAACATAAGCATTTCGGAGAGATCTACGCCGCAATCGACACATTGGCATTCACCTTTGGCAATGTGTGAGTATGATGTCATTACTCTGATTGCTCCTTCCACGGCTCATTTCACTCGATGATGTTTGTTACTGCGTTCAATTAGTTTGCATATGCACGCAGCTAATGGAGGCCAGCCGATATTTATTAATCTTGTGTGAAAAGAGAGAATAAGAGCTAAGGAAAAATAAAAGCAGTTCTTTTTTGTGAGTGCAGATAAAAACTCTGTTTATGCTAAATAAACCCCCCGAACCTAATTTAAGTCGTGTTTTTGTGTGTATTTCCTTTTGTGCTTTTCATTCTTTACTGAACCTTTCTTTTATTTTGTTTTGTTTTTCTTCAGAGTGTCTGACTTCCTTATGGGAGATGTAGAGAATGGATCAGTGTTGGGGCTCCCCCTGACTAAGAGAAGCAGGGTAAGAGAAGTGCAATATTTAAAAGTGAGGCTTTAACTTCCTGATAAACATCCTCCAGAACTGCATTTAAGATTTAAAATGAAACTCGTACCTTAGAATATGGGCTCCATTATTAAACATACATTCATCATCAGTTCATGGACTCTCCTGTTAAGTGTACGATTTTGGCTTCTGGCCCTGAATTGTCAAAAATAAGATATGAAAAGTTGCCCAGCGGAGATCAGGGGTGAAGCAACATACCTGCAGGTTGCAGCATGATTCTGAAATGGCCTCTTCAAATGATGAATTGATGTCATGCTTTGTTGTTTTCCCACTGCAGTTTTTGTAACTGATGTAAGGAGGAAGCCAAGTTTCTGATAAGCCTTTTTTAAGCGTTTTAGCCGAGCGTACTCTGCTTTGACAAGGAAGTTCACCCTTCGTGCACCTCCCCTATGTCTCATATTTATTTATTCAAAAACACTTTTTTGGTTTGTTTTCCAGTCTTTTGAGAACCTCTCTGTGGAATCTGGAGGATCCGGTCTTGAGAAAGATGATCCGCCAGGTAAGGCAGATCACTGACACACAGCTACTGTACTGTACTGTTCTCCAGTGTGGAAGTTTCAGGAGTGGGGAGAGATTGACTCTGTTTTTTGTCCTCTCCCTGGCATGTCTGTGGGGTTATTTGCAGTTATGTCCAGTCACCTTATTCTGGTATTAATGCATGTGGTCATTCTCCTGTCATCATTGCTTCCCTTCAAATGGCATTAATATTGTATACTTTATTGATCCCTGTGGGGAAATTCTTCTCTGCATTTAACCGATGGGCATGGGCTTTTTCAGTGTGTAGAGACGGTACCTTGCTCAGGGGTACCTCAGGGTAGCCATTCGTTGGATTCGAACCCCCACCTTCCGATCATGGGGCCAAACACTCTACCTACTGAGCTGTCCCTGCTCCCACATCTTAGCCGCATTAGCCCACATCTTGCTAACTCAAGGTCAGCATGGGCTTTTTCCTGCTGACTCACAGTCATAGATGTTGCTAAACATGCACCTACTCCATCGAGCCATGTTCGATGTGTGTTGGTTGGTTAGTGGGGATCATGTTGCACACGCTTGCTCATGTGATTTATTTTTATTTTTTATTTTTTTTCGTGTGCTCATCAAAGAGTCTTCTCCACCGGTTCGGGCCGAAGAGGTGGACAGGACACTGCAGAGGCAGGACAGCGGAGTGGAGTCAGCACTGGCCTACGCCAAGGCCTGGTCCAAGTATACCAAAGAGCTGCTGGCATGGGTGGAGAAGCGTCTCAATATGGGTGAGTTATGACACCGGTGGATTCATAAGACCAATTCTGAAGCACTGTTGGGAGGCAGCAGCTAAGTAGTAAGTCACTAAGTAACGCCCAAGTAGCTCATGAGAATCCAAAATGATGTCATGAGTTGGTGTCATGGACCACGGTCATGTGCTTGACTCTTTAGTTGCCATACGAGATCCTTTCATTAGCTTTTTATGGCGATGAGAACTAAAACGTCTTGTTTTGGACAGTAGATGAGCCGAGGGGCTTCAAAAGGGGCATTAATGAATATGAACTTGAATCATGCAAAGCTACACTAATGGAGTCTCAGCCATCTTAGTAGTTAATTTGTCCACTTGATCTTAAAAGTAGCTCCATTACAAGATCACTGGGAAATGTCAATGATAACTGCTGTACAGTTTCTAGCTAAACACATCATTTTAGTGAGTGGACAGTGTAGTGATCCATTAAAGGCTAGTTCCCAGGGAAACCATGTTGATCACCTGAGCTGGACGTAAAACAATGAAGTCTTGTTCATGCTCAAGGTTGAGTTTGTAGTGTGCAAACTTTTGTTTGATAGATTGGTTAATGAATGGTTTCACTTATCCTGTGACACAGAACGCTCAGTCAAGCTGTACAGTCCATATTATCAGCTCCTTTTCTTAAACACACTGATTTATCTTTTATCACAATTAAGGACAATGTGCAGTTGATTTGGAAAGCATTAATGACTTAAAACATTTGTTTGAGATCCAATTATTAATTGAAAATGAAAGATACTTAAATAAAATATACATTTATGAACCAGCAGAAAGGACGTTGTGTTGTAATGTTTGTTTAATCTATTTGAACCTGTTTGAATCTTGTTGTCTTTTTGCAGATATTGAGTGTGCAAAAAGTTACGCCAAGATGGCTGAGACTGCTAAGACGCTTGCTAGTCAACAGGTAAGTTGACGCTGCAGTTAACTTGACTTACATCGGCATCGTGTGCATCTCACACATGTTAGGGACTGAGATTTAAACCTCTTCTGCCTCGTTCAAGGAATTCATGCCTTTCCGTGAGATCTACATGACAGCTTTCAAAAATGACATCGAGTATAGCCAGCTGATTCTTCAAACTGCAGCAATACTCCAAAGCAACAAATTCATGCAGGTAACTGCTGCATTCATGAAATCTAACTTTATCATGGGTTGTATGATGGAAACAAGTGGTCTTACTGCTTTTGTGGGTGTGGTGTGGATTTTCTGTGTTTCTTTCCAGCCTCTCCTGGCCAGAAAAAATGAGCTGGACAAACTGCGAAAAGAGGTCAAGGAGCAGTGGCAGAGAGAGCAAAAGAAAATGGTGAGTCGACAGTCACGGAGGTTGCACTTTTAAGAGGACCACACACAAATGCATACTGGATCAAAAGCTTCATTGACCTGGGGTCTCAGCCCAAGAATGCTCTTGAAGTGATTCAGCCCGATATACAAATCCAGACAAATAGTTTGTTTTTAACCTGCCAAGACAAGTGCTCTGTTGCACGTATGACTGATTGAGAGACACTAATCCAGTGACTAAGTCTAAGAAATAGTCAAAGTCCTAAACTCTGTAGTTGGACACCATAATAGAAATGTTACTAAACATGAATTATCTCTGCAAATCTGTTTGTGAATTGTATCTTTATAGCAATTATTGCAGGTTATCAAAAACTTAAAAGCCATCTTTTTCTGTGGTTGCATTCGCGTTGTGCACAGCATGAATCTGTGTGTGACTCAAACTAATACGTGTACATCTGCAGCACGAAGCAGACACGGCTCTGAGGAAGGCCCGGCTCCTGCAGACCCAGCGACAGGATGAATACGAGAAGGCCAAGGTGTCGACTAGTCGGCTGGAGGAGGAGCAGACTGGAGGGGGAGGGGGAGCGGCAGCGGCAAAGCAGCTAGAAAAAAGGCGTAGACTGGAGGAGGAGGCGCTGCAGAAGGTAGAGCATCACCTCTAATAGTCCAATCTATCCATTTTAGATATCAGTGAATTTGTTTCCTGTGATTATAAAGCCTTCAGTTGCCATTCGAGAACAAGTGATTAGTCTCTATTTGCAACATGAAGATCAGCTTTTAGTCATTAAAGTTCTTATTTCCTATTTTTTCCCCCAGATTTGAATCCATCACTTTAATTGAAAATTTCAGTGATTTATATTCTTTCTGTTGGCAGGCCGAGGAGGCCAAAGATCACTGCAAAGCTTGTCAGGTTGATGTCGGGGTGAAGAGAGTCGAGCTGGTCAACACCAAGAATGAGATTATCACTCAGATCCGAGAGATGGTCTCCCAGTGTGACCTCACCCTCAAGGCCGTAAGTTGAAATACGTTAAGTCTTTAAAGACACGTTAATTTAAACTGAAACCAGGCTGAGTGGTAGAAATAATGCACACCTCCACCCATAAGTTAACACTGGCTCAAAGTTGCTGAATCATCATTCACTGGAATGTGTCCCTGTTTCAGGTGACCGTCAACTGGTTCCAGCTTCAGCAGGCCCAGGTTGTGTCTCTACCTGTCAACCACCAGACTCTGTGTGAAAATGCCAAGCTGTACGAGCCTGGCCAGCGTTACATCGACTTTGTCAGGAGTTTACCTACGGATGCGCCTCGACTTGAGTGTCACTCGTTGGATTCACCGGTCACACAAAACACAGGGTGCGATGTCCCTTCCTCTTATTTGCTGTCTGAATGTGGTCAGAGCTTGTCATTTTAAACAGGTGTTTAAATGTAGTTTAGCTATTTGAACATTTGAATTCAATTGAAATGTGATGTGTTTTTAAGGTAATCAAATGACCTTATCTTAGTTTACCTTCCTAAAGGTTTTTACTTGTTATTGGGGGGGTGGATTTATTTATTTGAAGATTTTAATTTCAGCATCGTTTAGAAGGTATGTCGTATTTTTAGTGGGATGCATGCAATGGAGTTCTGCAGGGTTCTGTGCTGGAACCAATTCTGTTTATATTAACCATGTTTTCCTGCAGCTATGTGATTTGAATTGAATGCTTTTGTCTCTACATTTTGTGTTGACAACCAATTACTTCAACACCTCAAAGCTTCACTGTTGGAACTGTAAATTTAAGTAAATATAGTACTGTAGCTATTACTGTCTGAGACTGCACATACTTTAGCGGTGATAGGTGGAGTTCCAGAGTCAGAGAGCTTGCTTTGGAAAATCTGAAACAGTTGTGACATCGCGCTGGCCGGGGCTTCCTGCGGAAATTACTGTGGTCACGGGAGAAAGGAGCTGGGCCAGTGGGCTTACCATCAGTTTACTAAACCCCGTCAGGGTTTCCCCTAGCATTAGTTTTGGGGTGGAGGCTAGCCCACTGTAAGAAGCCACAGCAAGAAAACAACAAAATTAAAAGATGAATTAGTTTATTTACCAAATGTAGCCCCACTTTTTCTTATTTCTTATTTTGAGCTGTGCCACTGTCTCTACATTTGTCAGTCATCTATGGCTGGCCTAATTCTCTAGGGGTCACTGCTGCACATTACTCACACAAGGGGAAACATAGCTCTTTGAAGATTTTCAGCACCATTAAACTCATGTACACACAAAGTCTGATTGACCAAGATGACACACACATTGGTCACTTCATAATTAGGCAAATGTAGTATCGACTTCTTTTGAAGGCTATGGTTAAAAATAGACGGTTTCCCTTTTGAGAGAGTTTTGTTGACGCGGGTTTTGGGTCACACACACAAATACCAGACAGATGGAAATAACAGTGTGCTTTGTTCTCACTTAGTTTTCTCCCTCCACGACCCCCACTCTCCTGCCTCCACCACACCCACCTCTGATCCCTCTGATCAAAAGAATTCAGCTTGGGAAAGAGGAAATGAAACTTAGGCCCACACACCAGCACTCATATGCTCTCACATGCACCCAGTGCAGCGGCCACCAAAAGGTTAAATATAGACCCGTGACCTACTTATTGTATATTGTTAGATGCAGCTGGATACTTAGCCTAACAATGGATGGCATCACATGTAGCTTTTGCCATTCCCGAGCTTATCTGTGTCAGTTAGTTGTCATTATGCTCTAATTATCTGCTGTCTTTGATTGGCTGATCATTCGTGGATCGTATCAAAACTGATGAGATTTACCAAGTGGAAATTTGTTCCATCAGCAGAGGAGGAAATGTGGATGTTGACTGAGCTTAAAATTGTCTTGAAGTCAGTGGTCTTACTGCTAGACAGGAATCCTCAAATATAATATTGTAGGTATTAGATATTCATACTTTGTATGGGGACTAACAGCATAATTTGGCAGCCAGGAGGCTGAAAGCTTTGCTCTTTGTGAACTTTCCCTATTCTGGGGATAAATAATGTTGGGGTGTAATAGTCCCTGATGGGGGGATACTTTGATCTCCATATTATTAATTAGATCAATGTAAACAACTGTACATATAACAGTTTTAAATAACTAGGATATGGCATTGTGATTTTTAAGTAAATAATACAAATTGATGTCTTTTTCCACCCTAGGATGCCTTTCAATAAGCGCTCACTAAGTGGCAGCCACTCCTCCCACAGTAACCTGTCACAGGCATCTGTGACCTCTGACCTCCTTGTTGGAGATGATGTGGACAGCCCCATCAGTGCCCAACACCCCAAGATTGCTGAAAGACGCTCCAACGGTAGCGGTGACATCCAAGGTACACGTTTAGGATTTCTTCTATAAATGCAATCAACAGAAACGGGGTCAAATCATGACATCCTGAGAGAAAGTACAAAAACTTTTACACAGCTTACTAATCTCACTGAGTAAATACCTGCACAACAAAGACGGAAACTAGCACTAGAGATAGTTTTGCACTCCACTACATTGTTGCTGAGGGAGGTACACAGCAGTTTGCTCAATGCCTAGCAAGTAAACATTTTGAAATATGAAGTTCGGGTAACCAGGTTGAAGATTTAAACTGGAGCCAACTTCCCTGTGGTTTGTTTTGTTTTTGGTAATGTGTGCAGGTGTTGGCCTCATTACCTTTAGGCCCGCCTTTAAGTGTTTGTAACATAATTGGAAACATGTTCTTCAACTGACTTTGTGATCAGTTTTATAGCATGCAGCTAAAATGGGACTTCTTATCTTTTAATGTTGTGTTTTTGAACAAGCACTTAAAATTCAGGCGCCATTTCGTCCCTGGACCTCGGCCAATCAGGGTGGAGGGATGTGCAGTGATTCGGAAAGTGCTGGAGGGAGCAGTGAGTCCCGGTCCATGGACTCGCCGACTGCAAGCCCAGGTAGGATTGTGAAGATTGTGAAGTCCCCCTAAAATGATCACTAGCAGAACTGATTTAATGCGACACCGCACTCAATAGCTATTTAGCTAACGAGTACGAATGCTGTGTCTATCTGCTGGGTAAATCTCTGCATGCCGTCACACTTGAGCTATCAAAAAAGAAAGAAAGAAAATCACATTCACTTCCTGTCGGTATGTTTTTTTTGTCCCGATAATAAAGGCAGCACGCTGGGTTTTCCCTCCACAGTTGCACAACATCAAACTCATTTGTGTCAGTCTTTCATCACGGTTAAAAGCACCACCCATAGCCAGTGATGGCACATTTTTCTGGACTGACTGTCTTGAGAGCACCTCAGGGCAGCACGCATCTTTTTTTTTTCCCTAGCGAACTTGATGTTCACCCAGGTTTGTTGGTGTGTAATCACAGAGTAAAGAGGCAGTCATGCCTCTTTGTTGCACTCTGCAACGTACGCACACACATAAGAATGTTGCAACGGTTTCCCTGTGCTCCCTGATTGCTGTGCAACAACATGTGTGTTTTGCGTCCTGTAGTTTGTTGTTGTAGTTCTTGTTTTTTGTTTGGTTTTTGTTGCAGGGGCTTTTTTTTGTAATGGTGTTTTTCTCTATATGCACCACCCTTCTGTTCTTTTGTTTTCCATACTTTTGCACTGGGCCTACTTTTTTTGTTCTTTTTTTGCTAAGATGTTTTCCCGTGTTGGTTTGTTTTGCCCATTTGCACGCACTTTCTTAAAATGCAGTGCTCTCAGCTTTCGGTTCGACTATAATCAGAATGCAAAAAGCCATTTGCAAAGAAGAACGTAGCTATAATTGTTATTTTATGTGTTCCTGTCATGGACTTTACATTGAAAACTTTAAATAGCACTATGTCCATTTTATATGTTACAGTGACAAATTTAGGTAATACCACCAGGTTTGTAGTAACCTTGGAGAACATCAAACAATTTCCTGTTAAATTGATTTTACCAAACCTGTGTGTAAGGCATGGCTAGTTGTTATGGGCGGGTCTTGACTGGAGAAAGTTGGTGCACGGTGTTAAATTGTGTATTGGAGTCTGCCACAAAGCTCTCCCAGCCCCCAGAGTGTGAACAATGGCAGCACTTATCTCTGATTAACCTGTTATTGAGCTCATCAGAAGATCAAAAACATTCTGAAAAGGCTCTGATCAGTATTCAACCCCCTTACTCATCAGCCAATCCAGGTGTTAATCCACCACCAACAATAACATGCTGGTTTCAGTTACCAACAATATGTTAAGCCCGCCTTTTCATTTGCTACTTTAAATTCGTCAAATCGCCGTATTGCTTCTCAGTTTTACCGCTGAGATGTAGAGCATAGGAGACAGGGGGGAAAACAGTGTCCTGACGTGACTGTAAAGATGTGGACTTTTTGGTGTGTCCTACCTTACTGTTCAGGAGACTTCAAGAGGAGATTACCCAGAACCCCCTCCACTGGTACCATGTCGTCTGCTGATGACTTGGATGAGAGAGAGCCTCCCTCGCCGTCTGATAATGGTAAGTCAGTTGTATTTGTATAAGGGTTTTGTGTTTATTTTTTTCCTTTTTTTTTAAGGTACTCTTATGTGTTCCTTACACTTATAGGCCACATATTTACATTTGTAACAATGCTCCTTTGCCACTGCAGGTTTAAATGAAATGGTAATCGAAACGGCGAGCTCTCCAGGACCCTTTAGAAACACTCAGATGTCTAAGGCGGCCCAAACCCACAAGCTTAGAAAGCTTCGAGCACCTTCCAAGTGTCGTGAGTGTGACAGCCTGGTGGTGTTTCATGGAGCGGAGTGTGAGGAGGTAACCTTGGATTCCTTTCTTTTATTATTTGTATTATTCCTTTCTGTTTGCGGCCCACAGCATTCAGAGTATTACAAATTCACGATAAAGATTGCCAGAGGCTCACAACAGCTTCTTTATCACTCGTGGCCAGCAAAAAAATCAAGCAGAAACAAAAGAGAAAAGCCACCTCTCCCCTCATCAGCATGTTTGGATGAGGAAATAAAGGGAAAAGTTGAAACTGGCCGCAAGCTCTCCTCTGTGACCAAATTCACTAACTGGTCTCAGTTGGGGGAATGGGCGCTAGAAACTGAGGACCTTTTGTTCGTCTTCTGAGGAGTCCTTTCCATCGTCCCTGTGCACCCTCTGTCCACTGTTGATTTTAGATCAAGTTTCTGTCCATATGTATTAGATACACTGAAGAAGACAATAAGAGCGGCTCTTGGTTGGAGAAACGCTTTTAAAAGAGGTTATACAACGCAATAGACATATTGAGAAGAAACTGACATAGGAATGCAGCTCACTGCAGAGTCTTGGAATGATTCAGTGTGAGTGGTTCAGAGGGTCACTAGATGTGAAGCTTTCCTCGTTTGCTTCTTGGACTTGGTTTTCGGGCAAATTAACAAAAATAGCTACGTTGTGAGGACGTGTTTTTTCGTCAGTTTTTCCACTGTTTTTGTTGACATACAGTTAAAACTGTTCAGGATTTTCTTAGAAATGTTTTACTCTGTCCCTGTTATAACTGAGGTATGTGTCACTGTGTTTGCAGTGCTCCTTGGCGTGCCATAAAAAGTGTCTGGAAACCCTGGCTATCCAGTGTGGCCACAAGAAGCTCCAGGGAAGGCTTCACCTATTTGGCATTGACTTCACACAGTCGGCTAAGAACAGCCAGGATGGCATCCCATTCATCATACGGAAGTGCACGTCGGAAATTGAGAATAGAGCCCTCAGCATCAAGGTACTTGATTGATCATTAATTTTCATGAAACAAAAACCCAAAACTGTAGCATAGATCTGCTGGCACTGGCATTAAAGTTCACTTTTAAAGCATCCAATACTGTGACCATAAAAGTGGCTGCGCTGTGAAAGGCTGTCATTGCTGTCAGGACTAATCACAATGTGTTGAGGGAATTTATCTAATATGTAAAAAATGAGTGTATTAGCGACATATGCAAAAATATGTTTTTCTAAAACTATGTTGGCAAAAAAATAGTTTTTGTGGATTTAGTGATGAAAGCTTTTGGTTTTTCATAGTGATTTCCATCAGTTGTTCTTAATGCTGTGCAGCCTGAATGCCCAAAGGTCATGGGCACTCTGTGTTGGTTTTCAGCCTTGTCCTGTGTGTACAAAGATTTCTCTGGCTTCTCTGGATCTTTATTGGCACTGCTAACACACTGTATGTGATAAAAGTATTTGAGAGACTTCCTTCAAAGCTATTTGTTCATGCAGTCTTTTACAGAGTGAAAGTGAAATTAGAAAAACGAGTCCTCCACTTCACCTTCGATATTTGTTATGCTTTTTAAATTATTTGATAATTATTGGTTTCTGCTTCCGTTACGTTTTATCAAACAAGACCAAAACCCTTTTTAAATAAGAATGAAGTGTTCTCCCTTTTTTTCCTTTGGCTGATCATATGTTTGCCCAGTTTCTTCATATTGATTCCAAAAACTTGTGTGTAATTTTCATGCGCTGATTGCATTTTGTGTGCTCTGAAGGGGATCTACCGTGTGAATGGTGCAAAGTCTCGAGTAGAGAAGCTGTGCCAGGCCTTTGAGAACGGCAAGGATCTGGTGGAGCTTTCCGATCTTTCTCCCCACGACATTAGCAATGTACTCAAACTGTACCTGAGACAGGTGGGTTGCTTTTGGTCATTAGCATAATGAGGTATTTCAGCTTTCATCCTGTGAAGGAGATGGCTAAAGTAGGCTTTGGATGACAAACTGCATTAATACTAAAAATGTGCATTTGTCTGTTTATTTTTGGCGCATAACTCCTGCCGCTTATCACCAGGGTGCTTATCTCTTTTCTAATTCTGTACCACTTGTGTATTTATGTCCATATTTTGGTTGCTGCTGTTTATTATCATCTCTGTTTCATTTGTTTATCTAATTCTTCCTCCGTACTTTCCAGCTTCCAGAGCCACTCATCCTCTTCCGCTATTATAACGACTTTATTGGTTTGGCCAAGGAGAGCCAGAGTATCATTGTGGAGGAACTGGAAGCACAGAGAGTTAATCCCACCACTGCGACCCCTGCGCAGGTTAGCGTCGAGCTCAATCGAGTCCTGTTCAAGATCAAGGATCTGCTAAGACAGCTGCCACCAGCTAATTACAAGACGCTGCAGTTCCTCATAGAGCATCTTCACCGGTAGGGAGGGCTGAATGGATTTCTGGGCATCCCATTACATACAACATATGGGTGTGTTGCTCCTTTTTTTTTAATAATAGTAGGAATGATCATTTCTTATCTGTTTCATTCTCCTTCCAGGGTGACGGAGCAATCAGAGGAGAACAAGATGACCGCCAGCAATCTGGGTATCATCTTTGGCCCGACGCTGATCAAGCCAAGGCAGGCCGATGCTGAAGTTTCCCTTTCTTCTCTGGTGGATTACCCTTATCAGGCGCTCATTGTGGAGCTCCTGATCAGACATTACCAGATGGTCTTTGACACGCCTCTGAGTCCTGTAAGTGGCACCTCGCCCACAGAGGTTGATGCCCAGACCCGCGCTAACACTCGCCTTATGCAACAGGACAAAGAGCAGCAGCTGATCAGGCACTCCAAGTCACTTGGAGACATTAAAGAGGTAACTGGTTTGCCAACACTACGATACATGAACGACACAGGATGTTGTAAATGTGCAATGATAGTAAAGAGTTATTCTGTTATCTATATAGCGTGATAAAGTATAAAAACTATACACAGTACTCTTCTTGTTTAGCATGTGGTAGAGTGGTGGGTTGTTTTCTGTTCTTACTGTCTGTCTTTGTCTTGCAGTCGAGCTTAAAGGTGTTTAAAAGGCATTCGTCTATAATTCCTTCTTCACACTTATTGACTGAGGTTCAGGAGAGGATGCCAAGCCTTGATGGAAGCGATTTTGAACCAGGTCAGTATTGTCACAGTAATAGATAATTATTAAAATAACAATCATGTTGTTATTTTATCGTAAAAGTTTTATTTGTCCTCTTTTTAAAGCTGATGAAACTGATTCAGAGACCCTCAGTTTGTCGTCAAGTGTCCCTGAAGTCGCAAAATCTGGGGAGAGAGGCCTGTGTCGTTCTCATCACATCACAGTCACCAGGGTTCAGCTTCGACACCCTCGCAACAAGCTACCGTCACGGCCGTTTAGCATGCCGGCCGAACGGATACTTAACCGAAGCCAAATAGACGAGAATAACTCCCGGAACGCCACTGACCAAGATGACAGGAAGGGAAGCGGTTGCGACCAGTCCATCGAAGAAGTGGACGAGACTGAGAATACAAAAACAAGAGCGGCCACACATTTCCGGAGTACCTTTATCGACACCCAGACATTACGCAGAACTTGGGATAAACAATACAAACATGAAGTTGCCTCAAGAACTGTCAAAATTGAGGCCAGCTCATCCACAGAGAGTGCAGCAGTGGAAGGCTTGTCAAACTCTGTGCCATCAACCCTCTCCCTTGGAACTACTTACACAGTCGCAGTGCGACCCAACAGGACTATAAAAAGGGAAGATAATGTCACAAAGTATAGCCCCATTGCAACAACTTTCAGAGCCCCCAGAACTCTTCAGCCCCCCCCAGGAACCTTCTACAAGCCCCCATCGGGAAGCAAAGCTAAAGTCCTGCAGAATTGTGCACAAGCTAACAGTGCTGAGGAAGAAGATGAAGAGGAGGATGAGGAGGAGGATGAGGAGGGGGAAATAGGCATTGAGATAGAGGTGTCTGTAGATGAGCCCCTTGAGGAGGACGTTGAGATTGAACAGACAGCCATATCTCAGTCTCCCAGCTGTAGCCCTGAGGAAATGGACCAAAACCAGGCAAAACCAGTGTACCAGAGACTAAGGCCCAGGCGTCTTCCAGAGGTGGAACACAGAGAGGCACATTTTGTTTAAGCCACTTAAAGACATTGTTGTTAGAGCTCCGAGAATCACAATGTGTGTCACGTTAGGAGGAACACGCAGAAACATCTGCATTGACTCTGTAGAGAAAATGAGCAGATGTATGACTGGCACTGTGTAGATCTATTGTAAGTATTATGATATCTTTGATCCTCAAAAGAAAAAAAATGCACTTATAATGCTGTAAATTTTGATTCACAAATCATACATTTACCAATCACTTGCTCAGTATACTCTGGCACACAGCCAGGATATTTATAATTTTTGGATCTGTGCAATTTGTTTTTGTTTGAATATTTTGTGTAAAATTCCTACAGGTTCACGTATGTATGTTTCTATACCAAAAAAAGCCCTCGAGGCGTAACAACACTGCATAACGTTATGGAGATGTGTGGTGCACTTACCTGATAACGCTCTTTCACCATCAGCCTTCTGCCTGCACCGTTGAAGAGTGTTTTAAGCTGTTACAAGTAGTCTGTAATTAAAAACATTGCTAATATTTTTTTTGCAATTTAACAACATCTGTTACGTGATGTACTCTGATGTCTGTGTTTGCGTTTGGTCATGTAAGGAAGCATCACTTACAAAGGGTATAAATCCACTCGTTTTTGTACTGCGTGGTGTTAAATGTGTCTGAAAAGCTTTTAGAAATGCTACAGGATTCTGACATGGCATTATTCTTCCTAATTTTAATATATGTACATTTTTTAATAGCCAAAGCTTTTTTTTCATTGTTTTTTTTTTTGTTGGTTTTGTTGTTGGTTGTTTTGTTTGTTTTTTTACAATTTGAGTAGTTTTATCAATAACCTGAATCTTATGCTTTCTTTGTAAGTAATGGGAAGTGCATCATTTATTTAAATGGTATCTGTTTTTCATGGTAATGTACAAGCCTGGCACAGTGTTGAAAGTTCAGTGTAAGAAAACAGGTACATAAAACAAACACCCTTTTGTAACTTATTAAAATATATCTGACAACTTACAACAGTGATGGTCTTTTGTGCGCGTGTTTTTTTTTTTGTTTTTTTTTACAGGAATATTAATTTAATCTGTGTAATGCAATAAACTGAGTTCATGCAGTTTGTGCAGGATGATAATCTGCGAATAGAGATTCAAGTTTTTGTTAAAATGTAAGGAAAATGTAAGAGTGATGGGATTATAATAGTGGTAGGATTATACCGCACTGTTAATGTCAGGTGGCCGGGTCATGCAGGCCTCTACAAATGGCAGAGAGGTGTTAGCAGGCTCCCAGCACCGAGAAAGGAGATTAAAACAATCTGCTTAACTATTCTGGAGGTCTGGAAACAAGCTGTGTTTGCAACCACAGCAAACAGTCTGTAGAATATGCAGAGTTATTTTATTGTTATTGGCGATCAATCTACAGTACAGGTGCTCTTCTGAGGTAAGTCACAATTTAAGTTGCACTGTGTGCTTTGGATTATGGTGGAAGTATGTGGAAACAGTGAGTGGATAGAGAATGTCATCATGATTGGAACTAAACTAGATTAAATGTATGGTGTGGCTGCACAGACAGTGTGGGATTTCATTTTATTTTATTTTGGGGGGATTGGCGTTAATCAGAAATTGTAGCGAAAGAGCGTTTGACAAGTCTATAATTGTAAATCTGACCATGTCAAGGTCTTGAGCTCATTAACCTCATTACTAAGCTACTGCTAGCTTTCACATGGATTTCTCACCAGATGAATGGACCGACTTGTGAGTTCATCGACAAAATTTAGCCTTTCAAATGCAAATTGCAATTTAGAGTCATGAGTAGTTTTGTAAGACAAAAGTTAGCCTTACTTGGCCCGTAAGATGTTTTATGGTCTGGTTCAATACAGATTTACTGGCTATAGCCAGCCCCTGCGGGGGTGAAAAGGAGGCACCATGGGGGCAGGAAGACAGGTCAGACTCCTGCTGTGGAAGAACTGGACCATCCGCAGGAGGCAAAGGGTAAAAGCTCCACACTCCAGTTGTCCCAGTAAAGGCTAAGATATGCCTCCAGAGCTTTTGACCCCACCAGTTCACACATTACTAAATATATCTTTCATTTTTTAATGCATATTATACAGTGTAAGTCTTTTTTTTATGCGAGCCCAGAATATACTTAAAACTAACACATCTTTACTGATTTTGTCCCAAACTGGGGTTGGTAAGAGTGGAGAATTTGTCAGATTGATAGAAACCACAACTAAAACTGGAAAACCTGCTCATTTAAAAGATGTTGTCTGTTTTAACCAGGTACGTTTGTTCATGGAGATCTTGTGGCCTGTTATGCTGTTCATGGGGCTGGTGTGGCTACGAAAAGTAAATCCACTTTATCGCCAACATGAATGTGAGCAAACAGTTCTTCGCTGGAAAATATTAGCACAGCCCGCTGAGACAGAAAAACAATATCCTCTGTATCTAGTGCAATTCATAAATGTTCTCATCCGCCTCAGGTCATTTCCCCAATAAAGCCATGCCCTCTGCTGGGGTCCTGCCATGGATCCAAGGAATCTTCTGTAATGCCAACAACCCTTGTTTTCAATACCCCACCCGTGGTGAATCTCCTGGCCTGGTGTCCAACTACAACAACTCCATGTAAGCATCAACTGTAGGCTGGCAGTGGGAAGAGTTTTGGATTGGTATTAAGTGTCTGATCTAAGATGAACAGGCAAAATTATTAAGTCGAGTGAAAGAGATGAATCTAGGTATTTAGCCTTAATAATAATTGTTAATATTATGGCCTTCCTCCTCAGATTGGCTCGGTTCTATTCGGATGCTGAAGAGCTTCTTTTTACGGACCCAGAGTTTTTGCAGCTTGGTCGCCTATGGAGGGAGCTCAATGCTATGAGCAACTTCATGGACACGCTACGTATTCATCCTGAAAAAGTCTCAGGTCAGTGCTCTGGGCTTTCATCAACATCCAGCAGAAGCCTTTAGAAGTAAATCCACGGTCAGAAAGGTTCATTTATAAAGTTCTTTCATTAAAGCAGTGGAATAAAAGCTTTTTTCTGAACAATGGTTTAAAATAAGTAGTTTATTGAAATCTTTATATACTCCATGAATACAATCAATAGCAAATCAGTCGTGCCTCTTGCAGATCATACAACACGGGTGTCGTTTACTTCAGACGCTTTTGCCTTTTTTAGAGGTATTGTGACTCATAAGATGTTGATCTTTTAAAAGTTGAACACGTCGCCTGGTAATCGCAGTTTACATCACACCTCACATTCTTTCCCATCAGTCTGTCTGTGCTGTCTGCGTGGAGTAACACGATTACATCACAACGGTTTAAGACCGGCTCGCAAAGTAAGCTGCTTACTTTTGCTGCTAGCACGCTGTTTATTTGGTGGGAAAGCAATTCATATACCACCCATCACACTCCCAGAAACACTCATCCCATCTCAAGGGCCTGCATGCAGACTGCGCTCTGTTCATATATACGTGTGCACTGTACATATGCCATGCTTCCCTACTGGCAAAATAAACCTTTACGATGGGAGTGGAATGGAGCTGAGTGCATTCCAGGCTTTGAATGATTATGTCTGGCTGCTCTCTGTGCTGCCACTTTCATGCAGAAATATGTAGATGGACTAACAGAGCTAACAGAGATCCACATCCACATTCCACTCTCGTTCCCATGAGCCCCGGGAAGGAAAACTAAATCATGCTGAGAATAAAGTTATATAAATGACGACTGTGACTCATGGATATTAAACAGGAAAATCGTCCGACCTCTTTTTCACACATCTGGCATTATTAGCAAGCAGAATCATGATCCACGTGCACTGTTGTGCCAAACATATTTGCTTTGCATTTTACATTGTGAGCCACGCGCAGCTGGCTGGATGAGTAAAACTTGCCTTTGTGTAAGTGTAAAGATTTATTCAATTTCTAAGATGTCTTAATATAAGAAAAATCAGTGCAGTTTCAACAGTACAGACTTTCTACACAACAAGGAAATGTTGCTGTAGAATTATTCCTTAGACTCTCCTGTAACTATGAAAAAGAAAGTTTTTATCAATCGAAAGAAAATATCCTGTTTTTTTTGTCTTTTACTGCTCAGATAACTTTTCTGTCATTTAGTTGTTTTTCATCTGCTACTTAATTACTTAATGTAAATGGATATGTTGGGGGGTCTTTATCAACAGGAAATGCTATAAAATCTATGAAAATATAGCTAAAACTCCAAGATTTAACCTCTCATTTACTTTTTCCAAAGCCATTGGAGTCTTTGCCGAGCTGATTCTGGCTCCCATGCCTTATGTTTGACAACCCTGCTCAATTGGCTTCTCTTATTACTTTTTTTCATGTTTGATTTCAATTTACGTATTTGTTATTCACATTAGTATATGTGCATTTTAGGAATTCCAGAGTTCACAGGCAGGGAGTGGCAGAAGTGATCAGGAACGAAAAAAAAGAGACAGAGGAGGAGAAAAGAAAAAGGGGAAAAATAAGGAAATATTTGAGATTAAACCTCTTGGCTAAAACATATTTAGAATTGTCTTGATACAGCATTTACTGCTAGTATTTTTCTTTAATGACATCAATAACACACACACACACACACACAAACACACACACACACACACACACACACACACACACACACACACACACACACACACACACAC